TGGAGAGGAGTGTAGACGGTGGGCTTTCATCGGATGTCCAGGCCTGCGTCTTCTTCGGCTGGAGAAGAGAGAGAAGAAAGAAAACAAAAATTGAAATCCGTTTTCAGAAAACGAAAATGAAAACGTCTTTTTTTCGTTTTTAGTTTTTCAGGAAAGACAAAAACGTTTTTGTTTTTGTTTTTTAAACATTTTTACACCAAACGCATTTTATGTTTCCGTTTTCATTTTTTAGTCTCGAAAAATGTGAAAAATGAAAATGAAAACGGAAACAAATAAGGCCATGGTTCTTTTGAGAGAAGTACGGTCATATTTAAGTCTCATTTATTTTATTAATTTAAGTTTAAAATTTGAGTTTTGTTATAGTAAAAAAATTTTAAAAACAGACACATCTATTTTTTTTATTACAGTAAAAAACTTTCACATAAAATCACATCTCAACTCGAATTAAAAATTCGAATTAACGAACTAAACGGACCCTTAGTATATGAGTTATATTACGGTATAAATTTATAGTTTTTGTTATGTGACAGTGTTTTTTTCATAAAAAATTTAAATTTTAAAAATTATAATTAAAAATTCTGATATGATTCTATGTACCAAACGGGTCTGTAGTTTATTATGGTTTTGTATAAATTTATTATTTATTTCATTTTAAATATTTAAATTTATTGTGACTTTTTATTAATTGAATAACAAAATAACAAAAAAAAAAAATAGTTGAATGGTACGATCCTTCTGTCGCCCTACACAACCGCAATGACATGATTCATTTAGAAGTATGTATGGACTAGGTAGTACCTCTTTAACCCGTTAAGAAGTGGGTCGTGCTAAAGTTGAAATATTGTGACATAAAAAAAGGACATGTTCATTTTTGTTTGTGCCGAGTGAAATTTTAATATTCTCCATGTTCTTAATTCATTTATTTTTCAACGAAATCTACCAATCTCCAATCCAACTCATAACATCCATTATCCGTTAAAGGATAACCACATCTTAATTATTGTTAGAATATAACAATCCAAAGAGAGTTGTTGCTCAACTCTACAAGTGTAGCCACATGAGATCTAGTGCGGGGATGAGCAATTATGTTCGGACAAAGACCGCGTACTCTAGTTGTGTGTGGACGGTAAAAACGTGAGATTCGACGTGGGATTGGACCAATTTTACCAGTTAATTTTTTGAATTTTCAAAAATTAAATATATTTTTTATTTATTTTTTTTTTTTATCTCCAAATGCATTTTTCCTAGTTATTAATATTTAAGAATGGGAATCTATCACATTTTCAACAATTTGATCAATAAAATTTTTTTAACTATTTTGAAAAATTTTAAGGATAATTTTGAGATATTTTAAAATACGAGGATTTTTTTTTAATTACAAAACAGAAGGAAATGTGAAATTTTGTTAAAAGTCCGTGTATATATATATATATATATATCTTCATAATTTAGAGTTAATTACACAATGGTCTATAAGGTCTACCACGCTATTTTGATCCGATTTTTAAAACATTATACAGTTGATCTATAATCCATTATTCTTTTTCAATTTTGATAATTCTATTAATTAGGTGTTAAAATCAAATTATGTGTAAATTAGAAAACAAGATTGTAAATATATAAAATTTAGAAATTATATATGAAATTTAATTTTTGTTTTTTGTATTATTCTAATCCCTAAACTTTAAATGTTTTTAATTTTAGTAATTAATTTTTCTAAATTCTGTTAAATATTTAATACATAATTAACAAAAAAGACTTAAATTGAAACAAGTTAATAAATTAGAGACCAGCTGAGCTGTTGAAGTTACGAATCAAAATAAGATAAAATCTCAAGGATCGTTTGAGGAATTAACTCTAATTATTACGTCAGGTAGTGTAATTTTACAAAGAGAGAAAGAAGGAAATATGCCAAGATTTGAGATGAATTAAAATTAATAGGCCAATAGTTTACATAAGTTAATAAATAGGCTAAATTATTATTTTCGTTCATAACTTGTCCGGTTATGAACCATAACTTGACAAGTTATTGTCCATAACTTATCTAGTTATGAACCATAACTTGACAAATTTATCCATAACTTATCTAATTATTAACCATAATTTAACAAATTATGACCTATTAATTTTTATAACTAAAAAATGACCTATATACTTTTTTAATGCCTATTTCCTACTATTTCCCTTTTACAAAGTCAAAACAAAAGTGGGCCTATAAGCCCAGTCTAATTTGACCCTCCACTTTAGCAGTTTTCGCTTGCTCCTGCTCTTCAACTTCTTCTTCGATGTGGGAGTGGGACGAAAGAGAAAAATATGCCAAGACTTAAGATGAATTAAAATTAATAGGCTAATAGTTTACATAAATTAATAAATAGGTCAAATTACTATTTTCGTCCATAACTTGTCTGGTTATAAACCATAACTTGACAAATTATTTCTAATTTTTGTCCATAACTTATCTGACTATGAATTATAACTTGACAAATTTATTTATAACTTATTTAATTATAAATCATAACTTAACAAGTTATGACCTATTAATTTCTATAACTAAAAGTTAACTTATATATTTTCTTAAGCTTTTCTTAGCGGCATATTTCCTACTATTTCATGAACATTTGGCCAATTCTTCTATGTAAAAGTTTCAAACTTTGAATTTGCACTCTGTTCTTCTTTGCCCCTTTCTCCTCTCCGATTGAGGTTCGTATTTGGGATCGGAATTCATGAGGGAACTTCTGAGGTCCTTCTCTGTAAGTCAAGTTTCGTTGCATCTCAAAAATTTCTCTCTTTTCCCTTTTCCCGGTCGGTTATCTTTTCCAAGGTCTGATTTTGTTGCGGCGTTTAATTGGTTAAGAGGCTAGGTGGTGTTAGGAGTTTTGCGGCGACGAGAACTAAGGAGCTTAAGATTGATGGAATTAAACATGCCATCGCTGTTGCTTCTGGAAAAGGCGGTGTCGGCAAGTCCACCACTGCGGGTAATTTTCCGTTTTCTTTTTTTTTTTTTTTTTTTTGGTTTTTTTTGAAATGATTATTTTGGTTTTTAGAATGTGGGTTCTTGTTCAGATGATTATATTTGGCTGATTATGTATTTGGGTAATTTTTATTTTTTGATTTGTGCTTGTTGGCCTTTCTCCTGGTCTCTATGTATCTGGGTCTTGCTGATTTTTGAACCTTTTTTGTTTTTGTTTTTACTGTTCCTATTATACTTATGCATATTGGTGGATTTGACAGTTAACTTAGCCGTTGCACTTGCCAACAAATGTCAACTGAAGGTTGGCTTGCTTGATGCTGATGTTTATGGGCCAAATGTTCCTATCATGATGAAGCTCGATAGAAAGCCTGAAGTGACACAAGGTGAATTAAACTCACCTGAATGGCTCCAAGAATAATATGCATGCTTGGTTTAAGTTTTGGCCTAATAGGCATTACTGATCAACTATGTGTAATAGACTTGGTTCATTCAAGGTAGTTGATTGTGTCACTTTGAAATATTTATTTCTCTTCCAAAACTTAAATGTCTTTTAATAATGTTCTTGTTTGGATACAATATATTCTAATTTGGTTCGTCTAGCAGATAAGAAAATGGTTCCAATTGAGAACTATGGTGTCAAGTGTATGTCAATTGGACTTCTTGTGGAGAAGGATGCCCCACTTGTCTGGAGAGGTCCTATGGTATGATTTTGCATTCTATTAGTCTTGATTTGACCTTTTCTTTCTTGCTTATTTTACGTTGCACAATGTGTGTTCTTCACTTGTCAGCATGACTAATTTTATTACCTCTCATAAGGCTTTTTAACATCTTTATAGGAATTGAGTGTCTTCATCTTTTTAGGTCTCGAGTGCTCTTGAGAAAATGACAAGGGGAGTTGAGTGGGGAAATCTTGATATCCTTGTGGTGGATATGCCCCCCGGCACTGGTGATACTCAGATAACTATTTCACAAAGGCTCCAACTATCAGGTGATTGAAGAACTTGTGCTTAAAGAAGCTTTTTGGTCATTCTCGTTGGTAATTTCCCCAAAGTGAACCTTAAGGCAAACGCCATTATTGACAGCTCCGAATCATATATTGTGCCTCAAATTCGGTATATAACTTACTTGAGTCGCTGATAGAATAATGCAGTTATTTCTTTTACTTGCCTCTTCTTGTGTAACTAGAATTAAATTCGAATACAATATGCCATTTATATGTATTTTAAGAAGAAATATATAGAAGTTTTCAATCTTCATATTACTGTTTTGGTTATACAAGTTTTCTTCAGTTGTTACAAATACCTGCTTCACTGGCAGGTGTGCTGATTGTTTCAACACCTCAGGATGTTGCATTAATGGATGCTCGTAGAGGTGTTAACATGTTCTCCAAAGTTGAAGTTCCTGTATGGTTATTTCTTTTTTATGTAATTTTTATATTGCATGCTACAGTACAGGGTAGATCAAAAAGACAAATAGCAGAGTGGGACCTATTGGTCTTCCATATACTTGTTCTTAGTGCATCACCCTTGAAACTTCATACTTGGATGAAAGGTTTTGATTAAACCCTGACTGCTTTTACAGATTTTGGGAATTGTGGAGAACATGAGCTGGTTTAAGTGTCCCCATTGCGGTGAACCTTCATTCATTTTCGGAAAAGCAGGTGCTCGGACGACAGCAGACGAGATGGGTTTGGAGTTTCTTGGGGAGGTATGCGAATTAGTTTCATTTTTCATCATAGTTGTTTTCCATGTGTCCCAGCTTAGTTGTTTCAGTTGGTGCCAAGTTTGCAAGGCTTATATTCCTTGTTTCTTTCTCCTTCTCTATGGGGACACTTAATTTCAATAAGTCATACCGGTAATCCGAACATAACATACTAAGCGAATGGAAAACAATCCAAATCTCTTGGGATTTGGCCGTAGTTGTGATCAATTATGATTTGTGATTATTGTGTTGAATGACTCAGATACCATTGGAAACAACAATCAGAGAAGGTAGTGATGAAGGTGTTCCTATCGTTATATCAACGCCTGATTCTGTAGTCTCAAAAGCGTACGTGGATGTGGCTAACAAAGTAGTCAACAGACTTGAGGAACTGTCTAAAACTGAGCACTCCCAACCAGAGATTCGTCTCTAATTTTTTGAGTGGTTTACTTTAGAGAATCAAGTAGCTTCTTTTTATTCCACAGGGGTACTCACCAAGACTTTTAATTGAGCATGCTTATGTAATTTTCTCTTGGTGATGTTGTGATGTTTTAGTAAATATAAAGCAATTCTTTTTTTGAGTTGTGCTTTTGTAGCTATTTTACGGGGCTTGGTGTGGAGAGAAAAGGCTGGAGAGAGACCTGAGAGTTGAGATATTCTTTTCAGTGAATAAATGGGGTCCTTCCACTAATAATCAAGGTTCGTTATCGTTGTAGAATAAAGGACATATCCTCAAACGAATGGACTGAATGAGAGAATATTTAGACTATGCATCTTGGCAATAATGATAAAGTCAAGTGTGTGTGTGTGTGTTTTTTTTTTTTGGGGGGCTCAAGATTAAGGGCCCGTTTAGTTCGCTGATTTGAGTTTTTAATTCGAATTGAGATGTGACTTTATGTAAGAGTTTTTTACTATAGCAAAAAAGTTAGATGTGACTATTTCTGAGAGTTTTTTACTATAACAAAACTCGAATTGGTGAAATGAACGTGTCTTAAGTGTGTATTCATATTACGATATGAATGCCAATATTTTCTTGTATGATACTCATCTAGATATCAACGTGAATAAGTACTTTTATTGTTACCGGATCAAAGTGTAATACTTCTCAACTTCATAGGTATAATCCATAGGAATTAAAAGTAAAATCGTATGGTAATCACATCGACTTCAAGCTTCAATATCTACAGTTTAGGATTCGGGAATATAATGCTTTGGTTTCTAATTCGTGATGCGGCCAAGGGAGATAAACCTCTTGCGTATATAAGATAAATGTTTTCTATGTTTTAAAGGTTGAAGATTTCCTTTGCTTAACAACATATTGCAAGAAAAGATAACAAATTAACATGATGCACATGTTTATTTATGCATGGCAAACAAAATAATAATAACAACAAATACATAGCGATATAAAAAAGTTGTGTAAAAAAAGGGGTAAAATGAAAATTAGAGATAAAACATATTGAAAAAGAATAAAAAATGGGAATTTTGAAAAAGGAAAAGATGAAAGTGAGATTTAGGTCTCATTTATTTTACCGATTCGAGTTTTGCTACAACAAAAAACTCTCAGAAACAGTGACATCTACCTTTTTTATTACAGTAAAAAGCTCTCGTATAAAATCACATCTTAATTCGAATTAAAAATTTAAATTAGCGAACTAAACAGGTCCTGATAAGTCCCATTAGTTTAAAAGGAAAAATAAAATATTTTTCAAAAAAAAGGAAACGTAAAATAAAAAAATAACAAGTGTCAAGTTAATCGAAACTGACTGAAATATTTTCTGTAATAATTATTTTTCAATAAAAGGAGATTTTTTATATGTTTAATGTACTGATATATTATATTTTTTTAAATATTAAATTTATTTTTTTTTATTTTATTTAATTTTATGTTAATTTGACAGATACTAACTTACCGGTATATTAAGATGTCAAAAATAAAATACTGAAAACTCTGAAGTTATTTTCTATAATCTTTGAATTTTCCACTATTTTATTATTCGTCACCGTCGCAAAAACAGTTCTCTCCTCTCTCTCTCTTCAGTCTTGCTTTAGCTCTGTTCGCTCCGAGCATTCTATCTCTCTATTTATCCATCTCTCTGAATGCATCACAGCACCATAAACCTCAATTTCAAATTCTCATGTCCGTACAATGGACCCTTCTTCCCTCAAAACCCTAGGCCGACCTTCTCCCTTTTGCCGCCAGTTTATCGCTCCAATTCCGTCTTCAACCTCGCCAAAGGGGTCGAGATCTCCGTTCCCAAACTCAACCCTAAGTCCAGCTCCAAGTTCGTCAATGGCTCCGTCGCCGACAGACCGTCGTCGAGAGGCGTCGCCCTCAAAGACATCGACGTCGCCACCCTCGGCAATCTCTGCGTCGATATCGTCCTCAATGTTCCCGAATTGCCCCCGCCCAAGAAGGACGATCGCAAAGCTTACATGGACCGTCTAGCTGCGTCGCCGCCCGACAAGGTTTGGCACTGTTTCGTCATTTCTGTCTGTAATTTCGTGAATTGTAATTTGCGAAATTATCCGATTTTTTTTTTGTTTCTTTTTTCAGGTAATTCTTTGTTGATTAAAATGCTTTCCTTTCAGGGTGTAATTGTTTAGAATCCGCATTGTTAAGAATAACGTCGAAATCTTATGTAAGATTGGAAAAGCACGAGAATTGTTGCTATGGCAATATTATATATGCATGTTTAACTGTCGTATATGATGAAGATAGGTGGTTTATAAACTTATCAGGAACCCAATTTTGATATTTCTTCCGTGTGATTATCTTATTGAGGTAGCAAAAGATTGGTTGACTAAGTCCAATGGGATAAACGAATTTATCATGGACTCTTTATTTTATAGATGTTATGTTGCTTTCCAAAAAAAAAAAAAAAAAGAAGTCCAAAGAAAAAAAAAGGCTTTATCTTTTCCTTGAATCAATTAATAACTCTCTTAGAATTTGATTACGTGATTCGACATCTAGCAATACTGGGAAGCTGGTGGCAACTGCAACGTGACAATAGCGGCAGCGAGACTGGGCCTACGCTGTTCTGCTGTTGGCCATGTGGGTAGTGAAATCTATGGAGGCTTTCTTCTAAATGTTCTTCGAGAGGAAGGAATCAGAATGGTTGGGATGAGCGAAGATACTGATTTTGTTGACAATGCTGCTAATTCCTCATATGAGACGCTTTTGTGCTGGGTTTTAGTGGATCCACTGCAAAGACATGGCTTTTGCAGGTAGATTTTTCAACCTTTTGTTGTTATATTTGTAGCATATTTTATCATTTATAAAGAGTGGTGAGCTGAATAAACCTGTTTCTTTATCAGTCGAGCTGATTTTAGTAAGGAGCCTGCTTTTAGTTGGTTGAGCAAATTATCTGGAGATGTAAAAAGGGCTATAAAGCAGTCAAAGATCCTTTTCTGCAATGGTTATGGCTTTGACGAGCTCTCACCTAGTGTAATAGTCTCAGCAGTAGAGTACGCTATTGAAGTTGGAACATCGGTATTTTTTGATCCTGGGCCACGTGGAAGAAGTCTTTCTGTTGGAACTCCTGAAGAACAAAGAGCACTTAAGCATCTCTTGATAATGAGCGATGTTCTTCTTCTAACTTCTGATGAGGTCTTTGCTTAAACTTGCAATAGTTATTGTAAATTTTTTGTATAATATGGAATTATGTTTTTTTCTCCTAAAAGTTTTTTGCTACTTTCTCTCACAACTTCTTGCTAATTTGATGATTTTTCAGGCTGAGACACTGACAGGCATAGAGAATCCAATACTAGCAGGGCAGCAGCTGCTCAAGCAAGCCGCGCACACAAAATGGGTGATTATTAAAATGGGCCCGAAGGGTTCAATTCTAATAACTAAGTCAAGTATTTCTTGTGCACCCACATTCAAGGTATAGATTTTAAACATGCATGTTTTTATTTATCTATCTGTTTACTTTATTAAGAATTTATGAATGTATTTTCATAACTTGTTTATTCGTGTCTATTGCTTTCATTTTGACCAAATTTGCTTGCTTGCTTGTTGCATCCATGTGCAAGCTTTTCTATTCTATCATGTTTACATTTTGTGATGAGGAAAGTGAATGCTTGTCTGTTAACTTTAGTTGTTATGAATGTCAAATAAATATTACTGGAACAGATTTGTTGCCAAATTTTTTTTTTTTTTTTAATAATATTAACTTCAATGCATTCCCCTAGTCTTTTTCTTACTGATCTCTGGGGCCTTTGTTTCTTTACTAATGCAAATGGAACTTTATTTGGTGCTATGAGACGTGGCAGGTAGATGTTGCAGACACAGTTGGTTGTGGAGACAGTTTTGTCGCTGCTATTGCATATGGTTTTATAAACAATTTGCCAATGGTTAATACATTAGCAATTGCAAATGCAGTTGGTGCTGCAACAGCCACAGGTTGTGGTGCTGGGAGGAATGTTGCGACCCTGGAGAAAGTACTTAAACTTATCAGAGAATCAAATCTCAGTGAGGATGATTCATTTTGGAATAAGTTGTTTAGCCAAGATTTGGACGCTGAGGAAGTTACAATCCTATCCAAAAGGGTCGTAAATGGGAGCAACAAGAGGCTGAATCATGTTTCTATGCAAAGCATCGTCTCTGACTTGCTTCCCAAGCTTGAACGTGCACCATTAGAGAGCGAAAGTTTCATCTTGAAGGATTAGACGGGAATAGATTTTTGGCAATGAATTCTGGCCTAGTAGGAAGTACATTTTCTGGGGTGTTTGCTCTTGAATTTCTGCCATGAAATGACACCGGCATTGAGAATAATCAACAGATGTTGGATTCTTTTCAGATCGAATCAAAGTCCAGTAACGGTCAGATTGAAGAAAAATTTGAAGCAGGAGATACTGGGGTTGCTTATCTTTCAGCTGATTATTTGTGCTTCTAGCAGAATAGTTTCCAGGCCTGGGAGCTTCTATTTAATGGGTTTTGGCATCAAATTTTCCCAATGCGACAAAAACATGTTCGATTCTTTGCACCACCGCCCCCAAGATTTATGGTGTTGGTGCAGTGTATTCTTTTGCATAAAGCACTGTCGTCCTAGATGGCTTGACAAGGTATGTAGCAACAAAGGAAAGTAGTTTAGCTGCATCAATTTTCTGTTATATTGTTGGAATGCAAATGATATAGAGAAACTCAATCATGCTATCTTGATAGTCAAATTTAGATACCAAATGGGTTATTTTAGACATTCAAGAATCCATACGATGAAGAAAACCATTGTATAAATCTGACATGGCATTGGTCACAATGCCTTCGCGTTCATGACTTGGACCCTTCACTGCCTACGTTTATTCTGATCGAAATCTGACGGTGACAGCTATAAAAAATATCATAAAAACCGCAAATTATGTTTCATAATGTGTTTACAGCCATGGGACTTTTAGTGTATGTTCGGTTGAGTGCTAAATACATACTCTCTTTCAGATGCTACTCTATTTGCTTGACATGTGTCATTCCACTTTTCTAAAACAAACTTTATAATAAGCCAATTTTTTCAATCATAATTACAAGTAGGGGTGGCAATTCGTGTTACGTGTCATGTTCGTGTCGTGTTTTGATCGTTTTTTTTTTAATTTGCAGTCAATCTGAACACGACTTGTGACTCGAAATTTTTTAAAAATCACAACACGAACACGACACGACCACTTTACGAGTTGACACGGCACGACCCGAAAATGACCCGTGACACGAAATTGACTCGTGAATCCGAAATTGACACGAAAATTGTATACTTTTATTTACTTTTTTACATATTAGAAATAACTTAAAATTCATAACACATTAAATTACATTAATATTCATTGAAATTAAGCAAATAATAGTATAAGATTTTGAGTATAACTATCATGATATCATAAGTTCATAATAAAATTTAAAATATGAAATGAAAAATATATGTATTTTTTAATTTTTTACAAGTTTCGTGTCGTGTTCGGATTAGGCGGGTCCAACCTGAAATTGGCTCGTGTTTTTCGTGTTAATTTCAGGTGGACCCAATTCTGACACGAACATCTTTTTTTTCAACCCTAAACCGTAAAATTCGTGTCGTTTTTGAGTCGTGTCGTCGTATCGTGACTCATATTGCCGACCCTAATTACAAGAGTGTCACCTCCTTTAGAAACTAAGTCTAAGATTGCACATTTTCTGCATCTATTATCTACAAATATTCACTTTACGTTTTTTATCTGTTGTTTACGAGATTTCATCCAAGTTTGGTTCCAGGTTTCTAACTACGTTAAATATTCTAGTAAATAAAAAAAGAAAAAAGAAATCTGTTGCTTCTTTTTTTTTTCTTTGTTGGTCAGTTATATGTCTTGATGTTATATATTCAAAATTTGACTACATATCAAGTTAGGGAATTCAAATTAGAATCCAACCGATAAAAAATATATATATAAAAAAAAAACCTAGGAGTATTGTTCCAATAATGTTTCAAAAGGACACATAAAATTTTCACTTGGTGATGTTTTGGGTAAAGAAAAAAAAAGTTTACCTTTCTTAAATAATAAAATGTTTAAATTTTTTGACAATAACAAAAGGTATATTTATATGTATATTATATAATATTATAAATTAATTATATACATATTGTGTTTGTAGTTTATGGAGTAAATATATTATTTTATATATGTACGTCATATTATATATAACGTAAACAAAAAACGGCAATTAGGATTACATATATATGTTATTATATATATATATATTATATACATTTGTATGATTGTATGTAGATATAAGTAAGCGAACAAGTATATTTTAACGTTTTATATACATATGTAAGTAATTTTAACGTTTATTTTTAAATAGTTCCTCCCTAAAAATAAAGGGATTGAAGAGAAGGTTGGAAGGTGGCACTCTTTTAATTATAGTTAAAAGAAATGGCTTTTTATTAAGTTTGTTTGTTGTAGAAAAGTGAGACGGCACGTGTTAGAAAACTAAAGTAGCATCTGTAATAGAGTCTATATTTAACATTTTTCATTAGTTTTGATACAGTATAAATTTATAGTTTTGATTTTGTTATAATATTTTTTTCTCATAAAAAATTTAAATTTTAAAAATTATAATTAAGAACCATGGTTGGAAGCCATCTATCAAACTGATAGATCCCTTAGGTGGAATTAGGATTGTGCAAGGTTTGGTCTGATCTTTATCTGCTGTTTTGTTTGAACCAAACCAAACTCTATATGTTGGAAATGCTAACCAAACCGAACTACCCTAAAGGGGTAAACAAACCAAAACCACCGTATCAATGCTGATTCATAAGGTTTTTTTTTTTTTATTATTTATTTAATGGAATTGAACTATTTTCATAGTTCGGTCTTACTAAACTGGATTGCTCAAATAGGCGGATTGGTTTGATATTTTAAGTGTAGCATTTGCTTCTAACGATGAAGCTAATTGATGTTCAAAAACTAACGAGCAGTCCAAGCTTACTATTCCTCGTTTATTTTTCTGCAAACCTAGAAAATCAAAAAGATTATTATCACCTATGCCCTTAAATTTTGGGTTACTCTTACTTTGTCTCCTAAACTTTAAAAATTCTCACTTTACTAATGTAAACTTTCACGAATTTCCACTTTGCCCCTTCCGTTCAAATTTCCGTTTAAAAGGGATGGAAAACGTCTCACGTGTACTCATGTGCATGGTATTTGAGGGTAAAATCGTAATTAAGTTTTTGACGTTACCCCACTTTGCCCCCTGAATTTTGGAGTTGTCCTCACTTTGCCACCTAATCTTTTTATAGCTCCCACCGTACTACCTCAAACTTTGCATCTTTCTCACTTTGCTCCCCCTATTTGATCACGATTGTTACCCGCTTACTCGCCTCCGTAGTAATCCGATCACTAAATACGATTTTTCTTCTTTTTTTATTTTTTAAACACAGTTTGATGTCCTTTTTATCATTTTTATTTTCTATTTGAATTATTTTTATTGATTTACTTCGTAGTAAGACATATCAGCACTTAGATTTTACAAAAATATTGATTAAAGTTAACCTAAAATATACAAATTCATCCTATAATACTTTGTTGACTTTTTGTTTTTTCTACTTTTGTTGATATCTCCAAAAAAATTTCACAAAAAAATTCGTCATTTAATACTACACTTTTTAAAATGAGAGAAATTCGAAGTTTGAAATAGAATGGAAGGAATAATGAAAAAGTTCAATGAGCAAAGTAAATGCGACCTCAAAGTTCAGGGGTTAAAGTGGTGGGGCGACTCCAAGATTCAAGGGGCAAAGTGGAGGCTACCTCAAAGTTTAGGGGGCATAAGTGCAAATAATAAAAAATTTAGTTACGATTTTACTTTCAAATACCATGTACATGAGTATGAGTAAAACATTTTTTGTCTATTTTAAACAAAAATTTGGATGGAACGGGTAAAGTGAAAGTTCATGAAAGTTTAAGATAGTAAAGTGAAAATTTTTAAAATTTAAGAGGACAAAATGAAAATGACCTTAAAATTCAAGAGCATAAGTGATAATAATCCAAATCAAAACGAAACATCCTTATTTCACTGGCTTCATTTTTTTCTTTGAGTTGAGTTCTATATAAAGTTGGTCACTTTATTCTTGGTTCCTCCTTTTAATTACTTTTTAGTTTCTACATATTCTCCTTTCACTTACTTTCTAGTTTCTATATAAACGTAAGATTCTTTTCGAGGTTGTTCTTCATTTTAAGCAAATAAAATAAATTTCGAGTTCCGCTTCATGGTTGGAATTATGAACACCTAAAGCTCAATATCGTTTTTTAGAAATAGACTTAGTCACGAGATTAAATGTATTTTCTTAATTTTTGAAATCATTCGTCAGAGATAAAAGAGTGTAATTGAAATGTCATATTTAAAAGGTTCCGTTATAGTTTAAAGAAAATGAAAAAAAAAACAAATGATGTATTAATAAAAATAGGTAAAATATAAACCATATTTTAGAGTTGGGAATTTCTCCAGTACTACTCCCTCTTTTAAACTAACGGTAGGCTATGTAAAAAAGAGTTTGACTATGTTTTCATTGGCTCTCAATTTGTTAGTATGTGATGCAATCGTGTACATACATACCTGCAGGGTAGTATATGTGGGTCTGCGATCCCCTATCAAATTATATTGTACCGAAGCCTGTCCGACAAATCAAGTAGTGCCACGTCATGATAATCGTTTTAGCATACTCGTTTAGTTCGCTGATTCGAGTTTTTAATTTGAATTGAGATGTGATTTTATGGGAGAACTTTTTATTATAGTAAAAAAATTAGATATGATTATTTATGAGAGTTTTTTATTACAGTAAAACTTAAATCGGTGAAATAAACTTAAAAAGTTGACTTCGCTACTCTTTTTCCTCTGTCATTATCTCTCTTTAATTTCCACTTTAAATAATGAACTTCTCTTTAATTTCCCCCCTTTTGGGTTGTTTTCCCTTGAATCAAACAAATCAATAATATCCGTAATTGTTATGCTGCAGTGAATATAATTTCCCCTGTTTCCATTGATCATTCCTCTCATCAATGCTTAAAACGGAGATTTCTGCTCTTTTCTCCCAGCTAATGCGTTTACATCAACACAAATTGGTTTTTTTTTTTTTTTTTTTTTTTTTTTGTTCCTGCACTTGTTATGTTCAATCTGATTTACATGGTAAAGATAGAAAAAAAAAATGGGTATCTTCTACTTTCTCTTTAACTTGTACAGGAGGAGATGAAAGGCAAGAAACGGCATAAAGCACAATGCACTAATACTAGTCGCTTACGAGAAGATCAAATTAACTTGGCAGAACTCCCTTTTCTGTTGAAATGACTGAGAGATTCATTGTAGAGAAGAAAGAATCCGTTGTTGCTTCAGCATTATCAGCAGTAATAAAGAATCGAACTTTTTATTCAAAGATGATCAAACGTAAAATGCCCAAAACATTGAAAAACCCAAAAGTGAGAATAGATCCTTCAACAAATAGAGGGCAAATTAAATAATAGAGACGATGTCGGAAATATTTCATATGAAAAACTTCAAAAAAAGAAAAAGTGCCATATGAAAAAAAAAAAAAAAAAAGGTAAGGAGGAAAAGAAATCAAGCATGACAAAACGAGAGAGAGTTTTAAATCTCAATTATTTCACCGATTTAAATTTTTTAATTTAAATTTTATTATGTTTTTATAAAAAATAATATTTAATTTTTTCTTACACTAAAAATTTTCATATAAAATTAAATTTTAACTCAAATTAAATATTTGATTTCACAAACGAGTAGATGATTTTTAGATTCACCTACCCTGTTTCCTGCTCTACCGCCTAGGTTCTATGTAGATCTTATTAGATTGGTTTCAATTTTCAACCCAGCGTTCGAAGTTAGAAGACAATTGAAAAATATAATGTATTTTTTAATAAACAATCCACTGCTTACATTTAAAAACATTTAAAGAACGTACGGGACTAGTTTTCAATCTAACGCGTATTAAATCTCATTCATTTCATCAATTTGAGTTTAAAATTTAAGTTTTGTTATAATAAAAAACTTTCAAACAGTCACATTTAACCTTTTTACTACAATAAAAAACTCACATAAAATTATATCTTAACTCAAATTAAAAACTAAAATCAACAAACTAAATGGATCCATATACTTACCGATAGTTTAAAAAAGTAGTACCGGAGAAATTCCCTTAAGAGTTATCTCTACCATGCCAATTTGATTATGCCTATAAAACTAAAATAAAATTACACGGGGACACTAGATGAAAAAAAAAAAAAAAACCCCCCCTAATATTTTCAATTTCAATCTTTTTGTTTTTTGTTTTCTCTGAGAAAATAAATACCTTGAATTTCAGAAGCGCCCCAATTGTAGTTTGGAATTTACAAAGGCATCTATGTTTGGAAGAATAATAAAATTGCCCTTATCGTCATAAGTCCCCATTTTCCGTTAAACGACAATTATACCCTTTTCCAAATTTCCCTTTCTCCTTTTTCCTACCCTTCATCGAGGTCCATAGGCTTTCCTCTGGATCCCGAAAGACCGAGCCTGAAGCGGCAGGGAATATATATATATATATGCTATTTTGCCCTTCAACACGAAAGCCATGGCAATTGAATTGAAGGAACGTTATTGATCAAGGCGTGAAACAACAGAGAATCCCCGATGTATTCATCCTCCAGTAATTAAAGTGAGAGTAAGTGGGTAGTATTGGGATCTTGGAATTATTTATTTGACAAAAATGTGGGATGACGTGAATGCCCTAAGAAATTTAAAACCCTAAAATTTCACACCCTTCTTCTTCTCTACCCTTTTCCTTTCAGGTATTTCCTCTTCTTTCCCACCCCCGCCAAATTTGTATTTTTTTAAAACTTTTTTTGCTTTCAAAGTATTTTCATTATTCGATTTTTCTTCAATGTCTAAAATCCCAATTATCGTTTCGTCTTATCTTCCTTGTTTTTTTGGCTTCCCCCCGCCGGGTTCTTTTAATTGACTGATTCCGTCTGTCTCTGACACCTTGTTGCCAGGTTTGTTGATGCAATTCGCAGGGTCGGAATCACTTCAATGTTCTGTTTGGCAGCCGAGAAAACTCTAGAAAATCCCTTTGTTTTTTATTTTCGAGGAGGTAAGAGTAACTGAATAGCAAGTAAACTGCACTCTTTTGGGGTTAAATATATATATATATATATATTCTTTTTTTCTTTTTTCTTTTTTTTTTTCGGTTTAGATTGTCTCTTCTGCTTTCTGATTTTATGGGAGAATCATTTGTGTTATGTTTATTTTATTAATTTAAATTTGATTGTAGTAAAAAAATTTTATATAAAATTATATTTTAATTTAAATTAAAAATTTAAATTAATAAATTAAACGAGTTTATAAATAAAATGAACGGTGTCAAAATTAATTAGTAACTCAAATCAAAACTTTGTAAAGAGGATGTTTAGTTGATAAATTATAATTAAGAGATTAAAATTATTTTTAATTTACATGTATTTTTTATAAAAAAAAATATTATCATAAATTATGAATCATAATTTAAATTATGGTATAAATTCTCCTACTAAACTTAACTAAAAATTGTTTTATGTTAAAAAGTGTGTGGGTGTTTCGCAGAAGCAAACAAGACTTAATACTTTTTTAATGTATACTTTTTTTCCTTTACTTGTGTCAGCTAAATACTGGGAATGCATTTGGCAGAGAGAAACACGCGGTGATTCTGCTGCATTCTGTGTGATTTCACTACTACCGGGAGAGAGTTACAAAGGAAAGCAAGTTTGGGTAATTCCCATTGTGCTTTAAACTATGGCCGATAATATGAGTGATGATACGATAACTCGATTTAAAAATGATATGAATTTTGTAAGTTAGAGTTGAGAAAAAAAATTTTTAGATTAGAATTGAGTCGACTTGAAATTGACATAAAAAATATGAGGTTAATTTTGGGTTGGACATGCCTAACTTGAACACGACACAAAACTCGTAAAAAATTAAAAAATATATATATTTTTCATTACATATTTTTAATTTTATTATGAACTTGTGATATTATGATAGTTATACTCAAAATCTTATACTATTATTTGTTTAATTTTAATGGATGTTATTGTAGTTTAGTGTGTTATGAATTTTAAGTTATTTTTAATATGTAAAAAACTAAATAAAAGTATACAATTTTCGTGTTAATTTTGGGTTCACGGGTCAATTTCGTGTCACGAGTCATTTTCGTGTCGTGTCAACCCGTAAAGTGGTCGTGTTACAGTTTTTAAAAAATTTCATGTCACGGGTTGTGTTCAGATTGACTGTAAATTTAGAAAGAAACGATCAAAATACGATACGTGACACGAATTGCGATTACTACTTTAAACTGTGTTCAGAATAGGGGTATTTTTTTTTTCTTTTACAATAATACTTTAATGGGGAAGAAAAAAAAATGTTGATGTGGTTTTTTATATATTTTTATTCCACAGGTTATTTTGTCATCTGTTGGAGAATTTCGGTCAAGTCTGTAGGTTTAGGTGTGTAATTTGCTCAGATTGTAATGGCAAATCATAACGTGATTATACGGCAAAGGCGTGATTTATCACTGGGCCCAAACCAACATATGGGATTGAGACATTACCAAAATGTGACCCATGTTCAGGATTTGGGTGTAGAACATTCCTATGATAATGAGCTTGATGTAATGAATTTCCAGGATCGTGAACTAGCTCCTGGGCAGATAGGCGAGAATGAAATGGCTATTCGACATACACATGTTCGGAATATTCAAATGAATGACCTAGAGTTGGAGGGAAATAGTGGTTTTGAAGCTGATGAAGACCATGTTGTTGGTGTTAACGACCATGATGAAGTGCTTTCTCTTAATGTTGAGACTCCCGGTACAGGTTTATCGGATAGTCGTGCGTTGGTTGTTGTGGAGAAGCAAGATTTTCATGAAAGCTTGATTTCATCCATGGACCAAAATCCGGAAACGAGTATTGTTCCTACGTCAGATGTGACTCCTGAGCATACCCAGCTTATTGTCAGGGACTCTGCCCTTCAATCTCGAGCCCCGATTACGGGCACTAATTTCCAGCTGACTGTTGGGCAAGAATTTCCCGATGTCCAGAGTTGTCGGAGGGCGTTGAGAGATGCAGCGATTGCTCTTCACTTTGAGATACAGACAATTAAGTCTGATAAGTCTCGTTTCACTGCCAAATGTGCAAGTGAAGGATGCCCTTGGAGAATTCATGCTGCAAAGGTTCCAGGTGTTCCTACCTTCACAATTAGGACCATCTATGAGGAACACACTTGTGGTGGAATTGCCCACCTTGGTCACCAACAAGCTTCAGTCCAGTGGGTTGCAGATTCTGTGGAACGTCGCTTGGGGGAAGATCCTGACTGCAAACCAAAGGATATACTGGAAGAGATACACCGAGTACATGGGATCACATTGTCGTACAAACAAGCATGGAGGGGTAAGGAACGGTTCCTGGCAGCTCTACGTGGGTCATTTGAGGAAGATTATCGCCTTTTACCACAATATTGTGACCAGATTAGAAGGACAAACCCCGGAAGCATTGCACTTGTATATGGAAATCCTGCTGATAACTGTTTCCAACGCCTATTTATTTCATTCCAAGCATCCATGTACGGCTTTTTGAATGCATGCCGCCCTCTCATTGGACTTGATCGAGCTCCTTTGAAAAGCAAGTACCTTGGAACCATCCTTTTTGCTACTGGTTTTGATGGAGATGGTGCTATGTTTCCTTTGGCATTTGGGGTGGTCGATGAGGAGAGTAATGATAACTGGATGTGGTTCCTTTCGGAGCTGCATGTCCTGCTTGAGATCAATGTGGAAAACATGCCAAGGCTTACAATTTTGTCTGATAGACAAAAGGGCATTGTAGATGGAGTGGAGACGAACTTTCCAGCTGCTTTTCATGGGTTCTGCATGCATTTTATCAGTGACAGTTTCCAGAAAGAATTCAACAATTCTGTGCTTATCAACCTCCTCTGGGAGGCTGCATATGCTTTTACTGTCATAGAGTTCGAAGCGAAAATTCTTGAGATTGAAGCGATTTCACCGGAAGCTGCATATTGGATTCAAAGAATTCCACCATACTTGTGGGCCACATCATATTTCAAGGGAACGAGGTTCGGTCATTTGACTGCTAATGCAGCCGAATCTTTGAATTCTTGGATACTTGAAGCCTCGGGGCTCCCCTTAATTCAAATGATGGAGTGTCTCCGGCGGAAACTGATGACTTGGTTCAACGAGCGTCGGGAAATGAGCATGCAGTGGACAGGCACACTAGTTCCTTCTTCTGAAAAGCTGGTTTCAGATGCAATCCAGCGCGCTCATGATTGTCAAGTAACCAAAGGAGACGAAGATAAATTCGAGGTTGTATCCCATGGAGGAGAGAATGTGGTGGATATCCGAACTCGTTGTTGTTCATGTTGTGGATGGCAGCTATCAGGGCTGCCCTGCGCTCATGCTGTGACTGCTCTCCTCTTTTGTAGGCAGAATGTTCATCGCTTCACCGAAAGTTGTTTCACCGTGGCAAGTTATCGCAAGGCCTACTCGCAGACAATACACCCTGTCCCTGATAGAACCCTTTGGAAAGAGCTGTCAATGATGTTTCAGAATGAAGGTGATAAAGAGGCTGAGGTTGTTATAAACCCGCCAAAATCTCTTAGGCCACCTGCAGAGCCAAGGAAAAGGAAAATTCGCAAGGACGATGGTGGCCAAACTAAAAGAGTCGTGCATTGCAGCCGCTGTAAACAGACGGGACATTTCCGAACGACGTGTACAGCGCCTATATAGTTGTCAAGACCCTCAGCGTTTTGCATTGTTTCTTTCTAGTGCGCAGGGAAGAGGTAGTTTAGGTAGGGAAAAACATGTTCATAGAAGTCCCAACATTGACACACTTTACGCACTAATACACAATTGATCAATGTCATTGTTTAGGTCTTAAAGTTCTGGTTCATCCTTTACATTTTAATTTTTTGGAATGAAAAAGTTCCTACATTTATTGGTGAATTTTGGTGTTGCAATTATCAGTGTGTTATTGCGTCAGTGGATCTCTTTTGTAGGGACTGAAAAATAAATGGGAAAGCAGGAGCTTAGAGAGGGGAAGAATATATATTATAAATGATAAAAACCACGGACAACTCCAGCCTCACCGGCATAATGACATTGATATTAAAACGACAATGAACTGGAAAAAGTCCGGGAAACACATGCCAAAAGACGACGTATGGAAAATGACATCATTTGCATTAACAGCAAGTAGTCTGGAAAGCGACATTGAAGCGTTAAACGACAGTAAAAAAGAAAGAGAGAGAAGATAACCTGCGAAATCCGTAACAAGCTTTTATTTTAATTTAAAAGAAAGAGTTAATAAGTTTTTCTTTCTACTAAAGCGATAACAAGTTAAGAGCTAAAAACAACAATAACTTGGGAAGACGAGTCAGGTGGAAGAACGAGAGAGAGCTAGAAAAACGAAATCAACATTGAAAGGACAATAACCTTGAGCTTGGGAAAACTACTAAAAACGACCATAAACCTTGAAAACGATATCAGCATGGACTGCAGTACCATGGAAAACGACATAAATTTTATTTGCTGCCAAATTAGGGTCTTATTTCAACATTAATCCATAATTATTTTTACCAATCAGTTACTCAGAAATAATTTTATGCTTGCTTCTTTCTATTGAAAAGCAATATTTTGAAGCTCCAAAGGAATATAACTACTTTCCCAGAATGCATCTCTTGTAGTGCAAATTGCTACCTCACAAATATGGGAGCCATAAACCATTAATTAGAAATTCTACAACCAAAAGAAAAGATGTCCAACAAATTCAACACCTAAATTTCCTCTCCTATATCTTTAAATTATAAATCTCAGATTATCATTCAATAAGCAAAACCCTTTAGAGGATAAGACACTTGAAAGTGTAGAAATAGTACAAAACGACTACTAAAAAAAAAAAAGCCCATTGACTAAATAGTCTACCTTTAGTTTGCGGAGAAATAATTGATGATTTCAGCTTCTGTTTTCAGACTTGAATAATAGATACAACATAAAAACAGTATTATTAATTTGTCGAAGTAATCAAGTGAGACATTTAGATGCGTTTAGAATTCATTCTAAAATAATTTTATTTTTTTGTATGAAAATGAAAATGAAACCGTTTTCAATCTCAGATAGTTTTTTCAAGAGCTTATTTTCAGTAGAAAAAATTCATTAATGTCTCTCTCTACTCGAGAGAGGAGAAAACATAAACAAAAAATGAAAAACGACTAAAAATTATTTTTAATTTATCTCTCATTTTACACTAAATTAAAAAATTAATTTTATTTCTATTTTTTTATTTTTAATTGTGTCAAATATAATTTTATTTTATTTTTTTAAAAAACGTAAAAAATAAAAACGAAAACAACTCCCTCCAAACACAGCCTTTTATTCTGCCAACATTTCCAAAAAACAGGGACCTAAAAAGTTCATTTTGACTTGGATATCTCCAACGAGGACTTTATTCGATTGTTAAAGCTTTTTCTTCCACATTATTATATAGATTTCTGGACCAAACTTGGTTTTGGCCGTTTTATGGAGCTGTCATTTGGTAACTGTTTTTTGCTTTTTGATTCTGCTTCTGTTTAATCATATGTATGAAATCCACTAATTTGGCTGTGTGATACATATTTCCTTAGCTGGATCTCACAATTGTTTAATAACCTGACCAGGTTGTGCTTTTTTGGTTATAATGCTTGGAAAATTCATACACATTTTGATTCCCCTTCATTACCAAAACGTGTAGACAAACAAAACAAAACAAAATTGCAAAATAGCATTTTAGTGAAACTTAAAAGCATCAAAACAACACTGCCCACTGGAATAAGTTTTGCATTGTTTTTGTGACACATAAATGTGTATGTTCCAATTTTCATGTACATTATTTTGGGACGTGGCTTTAGGTTTTGGCATAAGGGAAAAGGCTTTTGGGGGAATTGTTGTCTCCAATGATTTTAGAAAAAAGAGGAATAGTGACGGGTGCATAAAAGGTTGCCTTTCTCTGATAATTGGGTTTCTGTACAAGATGCTCTAAACTTCATGTTCTTATCAATATTCTTATTCTCCCCTACCCACCCACCCAATAAATAAATAAATAAACAAACAAAAAACAATCCCAAAGTTTCTTTGACATTCTATCTTCGTTTTTTTTTTTTTTTTTTTTTTTTTTTTTTTTTTTCCCTTGGCGTCATAGAATTTTCTTCAAAATCCCATTTTGTGTGGTAACTTTTAAATCCAAATTGTGCTTCTGATATGTAGAGCTTCTCCTTTAGATCAAGTAACATCACGAGGTCAAGTTTGTCGTCCCTAATTTTCTGTCCCATTAGTTATTTGTTTAATACCAATTTTCTATATCCTTAAAATTTAATTAGAATCCAATCACGTATTAATTATACTAGATTGAGCGCTTAAGCAGTTAAATGAAATGTTAAGATTTAATTAGAGAGCCAAGCCATAGAATATGAAGATGGGACCTCAAATTCCAACTTGTGATTTAAGTTGTTGGCCTTTTCTTTTCTTTTTTTTTTTTTTTTTTCCTTTTTTTTCAAAATCATGGTTTAAACTTTAAGCACATGTTATACCTCAACGGTTTTTAACTTCACTGTTTATGGCATGCAATCGTAAGCTTACAACTTAGAGAACAAGTGTGAAAACTAAGGATTATGGAATCGTACTCAAGCAGCATTTTTAGTACCATTTTGAACAAGAATTTATCATAAGATAATGGCAGAAACAAAATAAAAGCTTTCCAATCTAGATCAAACTATACATTGCGGTTTAGTATTATAAATTATAAGACAAGTATCACAAGACCACTTGAATATTCAGAATATTGTATAGCTTCCTTTGTTCTTATGAAGTTGATTTCATTTTCCTTGGCATGCAACCCAAAAAAAAAAAAAAAGAAGAAAAAAAAATTCCAAGAGTGACTGTTAAAAATAATGGGAACCAGTATAAATAGGGTTTACCGAATTAAAAGTTTGTCCACAACCAATTTCATCGATCTAGTACTGGTGAATTAATATTGCTACATTCTTTAAAAAAAAAAAAAAAACCGTTCTTTACTAATTAATTTCTTTATTCATTTTATTTTCATGCAGTACTACAAACTTAATTATTATATATTCTTCTTTATAGTGAGTATATTATCTTTCGAGTGGAAAATTTTCCCTCCGTTTATTTCTAGCATATATAACAGAAACATTTTCATTTCTTAGAAACATAAAGACAAGACAAAATCAGTTACTAATATTCAAACAAGCACACGGACTTTATATCCACTTTTCTTTTTGTCCATTTCCTATTCTTTACATATATATATATATATAT